AGGAAATACAGAGAATACCATAAAGATATTCCGCAAGAAGAGAAATCCCAAGGCACATAATCGTCAGATTCACCAGTGTTGAAATGAAGGAGAAAATGCTAAGGGCAGCCAGAGAGAAAGGTCGGGTCACCCACAAAGCGAAGCTCATCAGACTCACAGCAGAAACCCTACAAGCCAAGATATTGGGGGCCAATATTCAACATCCTTAAAGAAAAGAACTTTCAACCCAGAATTTCATATCTAGCCAAACTGAGTTTCATAAGTGAAGGAAAAATAAAATCATTTGCAAACAAGCAAGTACTCAGAGATTTCATCACCACCAGGCCTGCTTTAGAAGAGCTCCTGAAAGAGGAACTACACCTAGAAAGAAACAACCAGTACCAGCCATTCCAATATCACACTGAATGCTAAAGAGCATCAACAAAATGAAGAATCTGCATCAACTAACAGGCAAAACAGTCAGCTAGCCTCAAAATGGCAGTATCAAATTCACACATTACAATATTAACCCTAAATGTAAATAGGCTAAATGCACCAATCAAAAGACACAGACTGGTAAATTGGATAAAATGCCAAAACCCATCAGTGTGCTGTATCCAGGAAACCCATCTCACATGCAAGGATACACAAAGGCTCAAAATAAAGGAATGGAGGAAGATTTACCAAGCAAATGGAGAGCAAAAAAAAGCAGGAGTTGCAATTCTCGTCTCTGATAAAATACACTTTAAAGCAACAAAGATCAAAAGAGACAAAGAAGAACATTACATAATGGTAAAAGGACGATACAACAAGAAGAGCTAACGATCCTAAATATATATGGACCCAATACAGGAGCACCCAGATATAGAAGGCAAGTTCTTAATGACTTACAAAGAGACTTAGACTCCCACACAATAATAGTGGGAGACTTTAAACTCCACTGTCAATATTAGACAGATCAACCAGACAGAAAAATAACAAGGATATCCAGGACTTGAACTCAGACCTGGAACAAGCAAACCTGATAGAGATTTACAGAACTCTCCATCCCAAATCCACAGAATATACATTCTTCTCAGCACCACATCAAACCTACTCTAAGATTAACCATATAATTGGAAGTAAACCACTGCTCAGCAAATGCGAAACAACTGAAATCATAACAAACAGCCTCTCAGACCATAGTGCAATCAAGTTAGAACTCAGAATTCAGAAACTAACTCAGAACCGCACAGCTTCATGGAAACTGAACAACTGGCTCTTGAATGTTGACTGGATAAACAATGAAATGAAGGCAGAAATAAAGAAGTTCTTTGAAACCAATGAGAACGAAGACACAACATACCAGAATCTCTGGGACACATTTAAAGCAGTCTCTAGAGGAAAATATATAGCAATAAGTGTCCACATGAGAAGAGTGGAGAGATCCAAAATCAACACCATAACATCAAAATTGAAAGAGCTAGAGGAGCAAGATCAAAAAAACTCAAAACCCAGCAGAAGACAAGAAATAACTAAGATCAGAGCTGAACTGAAGGAGATTGAGACACAAAAAACCCTTCAAAAAAATCAATAAATCCAAGAGCTGGTTTTTTGAAAAGATCAACAAAATAGACCACTAGCCAGATTGATAAAAAAGAAAAGAGAGAATAACCAAATAGATGCAATAAAAAATGATAAAGGGAAATCACCACAAATTCCACAGAAATTCAAACCATCATCAGAGAATATTACAAACAACTCTATGCACATAAACTAGTAAACCTGGAAGAAATGGATAAATTCCTGGACACTTGTGTCCTCCCAAGCCTAAACCAGGAGGAAGCCGAAACTATGAACAGACCAATAACAAGATCTGAAGTTGAGGCAGCAATTAAGAGCCTACCACACAAAAAAAGCCCAGGTCCAGATGGGTTCACAGCCGAATTCTACCAAACACACAAAGAGGAACTGTTACCATTCCTTCTGAAACTATTCCAATCAATACAAAAAGAGGGAATCCTTCCCAGTTCATTTTATGAGACGAACATCATCCTGATACTAAAACCCGGCAGAGACTCAACAAGAAAAGAAAACTTCAGGCCAATATCCATGATCAACATAGATGCAAAAATCTTCAATAAAATACTGGGAAGCTGATTGCAACAGCACATCAAAAAGCTTATCCACCATGATCAAGTAGGATTCATCCCGGGGATGCAAGGCTGGTTCAACATACGCAAGTCTATAAACGTAATTCACCACATAAACAGACCCAAAAACAAAAACCACGTTATCTCAATCGACGCAAAGAAGGCCTTTGACAAAATTCAACAGCCCTTTATGCTAAAAACCCTCAATAAACTTGGTATTCATCGAATGTATCTCAAAATAAAAAGAGCAATTTACGACAAACCAACAGCTTATATCATACTGAATGGGCAAAAACTGGAAGCATTCCCTTTGAAATCTGGCACTAGACAAGGATGCCCTCTCTCACCACTCCCATTCAATATAGTACTGGAAGTTCTAGCCCGAGCAATCAGGCAAGAAAAAGAAATAAAGTGTATACAAATAGGAAAGGAGGAAGCCAAACTGTCTCTATTTGCAGACCACATGATAGTATATCTAGAAGACCCCATCGTCTCAGCCCAAAATCTCCTGAAACTGATAAGCAACATCTCAGTATACAAAATCAATGTGCAAAAATCACAAGCATTCCTATACACCAATAACAGACTGAAAGAGAGCCAAATCAAGAATGAACTGCCATTCACCATTGCTACAAAGAGGATAAAATACCTAGGAATACAACTCAGAAGGAATGTAAGGGACCTCTTCAAGGAGAACCACTGCTCAACGAAATCAGAGAGGACACAAACAGATGGAGAAACATTCCATGTTCATGATTAGGAAGAATCAATATCGTGAAAATGGCCATACTGTCCAAAGTAATTTACAGACTCAACGCTATCCCCATCAAGCTACCATTGACTTTCTTCACAGAACTGGAAAAAACCATCTTGAACTTCATATGGAACCAAAAAGAGAGCCTGCATAGCCAAGTCAATTCTAAGCAAAAAGAGCACAGCAGGAGGCATCACACTACCGGACTTCAAATTATACTACAAGTCTACAGTAATCAAAACAGCATGGTACTGGTACCAAAACAGAGATACAGACCAATGGAACAGAACAGAGGCATTGGAGGCAACACAACATATCTACAACCATACAATCTTTGATAAACCTGACAAAAACAAGCAATGGGGAAAGGATTCCCTGTTTAATAAATGGTGTTGGGAAAACTGGCTAGCCTTGTGCAGAAAGCAGAAACTGGACCCCTTCCTGACACCTTACACTAAAATTAACTCCAGATGGAACATAAGACCTGGGGCACCATAAAAACCCTAGAAGAAAATCTAGGCAAAACCATTCAGGACATAGGAGTAGGCAAGGACTTCATGAACAAAACACCAAAAGCATTGGCAGCAAAAGCCAAAATAGACAAATGGGACCTAATCAAACTCCACAGCTTCTGCACGGCAAAAGAAACAGTCACTAGAGTGAATCGCCAACCAACAGAATTGGAACAAATTTTTGCAGTTTACCCATCTGACAAAGGGCTGATATCCAGAATTTACAAAGAACTCAAACAGATTTACAAGAAAAAAACAAACAAGCCCATTCAAAACTGGGCAAAGGATATGAACAGACACTTTACAAAAGAAGACATACATGAGGCCAACAAGCATATGAAAAAATGCTCATCATCTCTGGTCATTAGAGAAATACAAATCAAAACTACGTTGAGATACCATCTCATGACAGTTAGAATGGTGATCATTAAAAAATCTGGAGACAACAGATGCTGGAGAGGATGTGGAGAAATAGGAACACTTTTACACTGTTGGTGGGAGTGTAAATTAGTTCAACCATTGTGGAAGACAGTGTGGCAATTCCTCAAAGACCTAGAAATAGAAATTCCATTTGACCCAGCAATCCCATTACTGGGTATATATCCAAAGGACTATAAATCGTTCTACTATAAGGACACATGGACACGAATGTTCATTGCAGCACTGTTTACAATGGCAAAGACCTGGAACCAACCCAAATGCCCATCGATAATAGACTGGACTGGTAAAATGTGGCACATATACACCATGGAATATCATGCAGTAATCAAAAATGATGAGTTCGTGTCCTTTGTAAGGACATGGATGAATCTGGAGAACATCATTCTCAGCAAACTAACACAAGAACAGAAAATGAAATACCACATATTCTCACTCATTAGGCGGGTGATGAATAATGAGAACACATGGACACAGAGAGAGGAGCACTACACACTGGGGTCTATTGGGGGGAATAGGGGAGGGTCAGCGGGAGAGGGGGAGCTGGGGAGGGATAGCATGGGGAGAAATGCCAGATGTGGGTGAAGGGGAGGAAGACAGCAAATTACACTGCCACATGTGTACCTATGCAACTATCTTGCATGTTCTGCACATGTACCCCAAAACCTAAAATGCAATAAAAAAAAAAAACCCTCCAGACTCAGGTATAAGGTATATTGAAAGATATTTACCTGGCTGAATTCTCATGATTAAAGTTAAGTAAGTCTAGATTAAGCAAGAATCAGAGGTAGATGTCAAAATAAAGACCAGATTAGACCTAGTTATTCTAAAATACTTCTAGAAAAATCAAGCAAAGAGGCAGATTATGAATTCTATTTTGACTTCAGGTGCCATCTAGCTATTTAACCATCTCCAGATAACATGTTAAAGACTTTTCTTTTTCACAGAATGTAAAATAAAAAAACTAAAGAGGTAAGTAGTTTTAGCCATAAGTTTTAACTAATTGCCAGTTTACTTGCAGCAAAGCTAACCAGGCTTCATAAATAACACCCATGTCAAAACAACTAAGTTACCTTCAATCATGTTTCCTGGGACATTTCTGGAGTTTGAGTCCCTTTCCTGTAAGTATATAAAACTTTTTAGCAACTGAAAAATAAAGAAGACTGAAGGCAAGATGCTACTCACTTTTCAATCTCAATGCCAAGGGGGTTAGCAGGACGTAAGGACAAGGGTGGAATTCCTTTGTTCCTGTCAGTACGCATATCATAATAATTCATTTCATCAACCCACACAGCAGACTGATCCAAAATGCCTACAGAAAGAAGTAGCACATGCTTAATAAGATGAAGGCTAGAGGAGGTACCTTCTAAGTCTGGCCATATTACCTTACTTCCTAAAGACCTAATACAAAATGCCTGTTGGATAATTTTTAAGAGATTTTAGGATATAACAGCTAAGTTTTTTTTTTAATGACTAGTGCTTTAATTATAAGCACTAAAAAATCTATAAAAAGGCAAAAATAACACTTTGGCTTATGGTTTCATTGTACTTTATTTAATAGAGAAGACAAATTAAGCTGTTTAGAAAAAGTTTTGCTACATCGAAAGTATTTTACAAATAATAAACACTACAATTAAACATTGATAAATGTAACTAATTAAATCTGTATAAAAAATTCAAAAAGTCAGTATGTAAGATGCAATAAGATAACCTATAATATCTGTTTATTCAAGAGAATATTCTGAAATAATGTAAACTCTTGGAAAATGTCTGGGAAATACCCAAGCACAAAACACTGGAGTTAAATGTTAGTTCAGTGAACATTTCTGGTTTATGATAAATGCTGAAAAACCATTATGCACATATAATTTTATATTTAATACTGTAAGTTTCTTCTTCTGGGTTCCATAAGCTACTGTAAGGACATTTCACTATAAATGAAAACCAAATGTTTTTAAAATGGTCCTTGAAAGCTCGCAAGAAACATCTTTTATTTTCTTTTCCTCTAGAAACACTGGCATGTTTTCATGAATAGTTATGCAAAAATATTACGCTACTTGCTAGTTCCCATGCTTTTTACTATTATCAGTGCTTGACATGTCCTAGATGGTAGAAACAGCACGTTTTTTCCATATTAGGCTGAAATCAATTTGGCAGACTCAATAAAATATCTAACGATTAAATCAAATACCTTTTAAGAATGCATGGCTTATATAATGGAAATGGCCAGGTTATTCAGGGAAAACTGACAGGGTATGGACCCTGTGAACAAGACAACATAAACATCTTCCTTTACAGGACTGAGCTCTTTATTGTTCAACCTAGCACAGGGCTTCCCAGCTAGGCCTCCAAGGCGCTGGGCTGCAACAGAAAAAGAGCAAGTGGTCAGGGAGTACAGACAAAGTGTGCCCGCCTCCACAGGCAAGGATCAGAAGGTTTCCTGGGAGAAGGCTGTCTGAATACCAGGCAACCTGTGGCTGCAGGGCCCTCTGGGAACCCACTCATTCCCTCAGCACTTGCAGTTCTGCCAGCATGCAACAGGGGCTTTGTCAGAGCTTCTGCTCAAGTCCAGGCACTCCTGAGTTCAGTCCAAGAAACCTTTACTAAGTCTACTATGTGCTAGGCCCTGGGCTGAATGCTCTAGAATAATAAAATTACTACTTTTGCCTAAGTTGTCTTTATCTGCTACATAAATAAGATATCAGATTTTACCAAAATGTTTATGTTCCTCTAGAAAACCCATATAACAAGTTCCTGCTTTAGTTTCACAGTTTAGTTTTGGAGACACAAAAAAAAGAGTAAACAAAAATACAAATGTTATATGTATACATATATGCACACATGCATGTACATGTGCATATATAAAGTCCACTTTACATTTTCCCTTAAATTCCTTGAACTTTTATTTATACAAAAAAAATCAAAGAATTTATAGAGAATAATGCTGCAGAAAGGCTCTATGCTCTGAGATTTAAAAAAAAAATTTGCAAAATTATTTATTTTTCCATATAAAGAGAAGCACTGGCTGGGTTTAATTATGCCTACGATACTCCTACATTATACAAATATTTATCAAGTGCTGACCATGTGCAAGACATTACAGTGCCACAAAGATGAATCTGACATTACTCTTCTTCTAAAAAGGGAAACAGACACACACACAGAAATAGCTACAAGAAATATAATTAGAAATTATTAATTTGTTAGGTAAGCGACTATGCTTACAGACTTTACATTTCTGTAAACAGACTTTACATTTCTGTTCTAACTCACCCAATCCTATGAGGTAGGCGATATTATTCCACTTTTGCTCATGGAGAAATAAGGTGTTAAAGTTAGTTAGTCATGGTAAGAGAGTTCAGGTTAGAATTCAAAGAGTATGACTTCTCAGACCAAATTCCTAACACAGCTAACATAAGGCAGCAAGTGGTCAGTGCATAAAGAAGGAAAACATAAAGTGCTGTGTGGTTCAACGATGAGTGGGTATAACTAATGTGGGAGCCTAAAAGCAGCCATGGCAGGAATGTATCACCCGGGCCTTGAAAGATAGACAAAATGAAGGAAAAGGGAATATTATTTAGATATATTATTACTAAATTGGCCAAATCAGGACTTTTCACCTCAAATCTTGTTTGTTTAATAGTTTTAAAACAATGTCATTATATTCAAGATCAAGGAACCGAAACTGGTATATCAAGTGAACAAACAGATTTTAAGAACTTAGGAGGATAGTTCTCACATGATCATCATCTTTAGGTTTCGCTGACTGTTATTTCAGCACACTGCCTTCCCAAAAGTAATACAAATATTAACCAACATCCCATTCCTGTCAAAATAAACATAAACTAAATCTAAGTGCGTAGGTTTATAAAATCTACCAGTTTTACATCTTAAAAGACAAACTCATTTTTACTTTCTCTTATAGAATAAACTCATGAAAGACTTTACCTATTTTCTCCGGTTTGAGTAGCTTGAAAGAGACTGTTGAGGTTCCTTTGCCACCTGACTTAGTGGTGACAATAATGTCTCCTTTGTCATTTTTGGCTTGTCCCACTCGACATACTATTTTACTTGCAGACATCCATTCTGCCGTCAGGAGGCAGTTATGGCCACAAATTGTCAAGCCTGAAAATAAATGCAGGTGCATAACAAAATTCAAAGACAAGAACAATGAGAAGACCTTAATCATGTAGATGACATTTTTAAAATCTAGCAATAATTTTCTTGTTCAATAATTATATTTCTGTTGAATATACCCAATATTATTTGTAGATATACTGTTGTCTCTATTGATTTTTCCTCTTATCTGCTTTTTTCTCTAATATTTAAGACTTCTTTTAGGCTACATTTAAGTTTCTTCAAACATCAACAGAATTAGAAAATGAATGGCCACAATAACTATGCCTAGCATTCCAGATTACTTAGATTAGAAGAATCTTAAAATGCTTTCAGAGGTAATAAAAGGGAAACTATTGCTATTACTTGAAGCCTCAGTTATTAATGTAGAATTTGAAAATGTATTAATACATTTATATATCATTTTCTAAAAACATTCAATATTCATCAATCTTCCTGAAAAAATCTTCATGTATATTTCCAGTGTTCACTTCCACATGAGTAGGTTTTATATTTAAGCATAGCCTAGAGTAGGGTAATCTAGTGGAGTGTGCTCAGGCATTACTGGATTACTAGCTCACTTTTACAACAGTGTATCAGCTGCCAGCATAGTAGTTCCTCCTGCCCTAGTGTTTTCCTATGAAACTGTCACTATACTACATTCTGCTCTTTCAGTAAGCCTACACTCCCAAAAGGTCAACTCATGATGTCACCTCCCTCACGCTATGTAAAACAAAATTTAGGTAATGATCAAACAGAGAGACACCGAAAGATGCAGTGAGAAAGGCAGACAGCCCAGGGGGGAATACCAGCATACCACCACACTGGTCAGCTAGCCTTCTAACTTACTTTTATTAGTTTTTCCATTTCCACAAAACAGAGACCAATGTAATTAATATTTATGGAGAAGAGAACCAGAATGTTTGTGGCACAGGCACAGACACTTCATGTTTTCTTTTTTTAAGACAGGGTCTTGCTCAGTTGCCGAGGCTAGAGTGCAGTGGTGTGATCTCAGCTCCCTGCAACCTCCACCTCCTATGCTCAAGTAATTCTCCAGCCTCAGCCTTCCAAGGAGCTGGGACTACAGGTGTTCGCCACCATGCCTGGCTAAATTTTTTTTTTTTTTTTTTTTGGTATTTTTTGAAGAGACAGGTTTCTCCATGTTGGTCAGGCTGGTCTCAAAACTCCTGGCCTCAAGTAATCCACCTGCCTCAGCCTCCCAAAGTGCTGGGATTACAGGTGTGAGCTACCGTGCCTGGCAGACACTTTACACTTTCTTTTCTCATTATTTAACTTTCTATAATGTTCAGCAGTAAGGTTTAGCAATTGCAATGTTTTCTTTTGGCTCTTTTTCAGAAAGGGCCAAAAGACCAGAAAGACTTCAACCAGTGCCAAACTGACTTTTAAAATGAAGGGACAAAGTCAAATCATCTTTTGTTCCAACTTAAAAAACTATTCAGTAAGAACGGTAAATCATAAAGGAATAAAAACAACTACATTTTAAAGATATATTTCTTGAAATAATGAATTTTAGGGTTTACATAAAATGCCGATAATTCACTAATGTCTGCAACTTTGTCTAATAATGGCATTAAAAGGTTTCTTTGGGACTACAGTTTCTATTGGTATGTTTTAATTATAATAACATACTTTTAAATGTATTCATTATTCAAACATTTTTTTTCAAAACAGGCATGTTTTTGATCTCTTTTCTAATAATTTTTGTTATGAAAAACTTAAATAACTTAAGAGACTGAAAGCCTCTCCAAACCCCACCTCACAAGAGAAATACTGCTAATATGTCAATGTTCACTTGCTCAAGTAATTTTGTGCATCTATAAACCAGTCTATGGTTTTTAAACAAATATTTTCATTTGTAACCTGCGTAATTATCAACAGTAGATATTTTGGTATCACTCCAGGTCAAGAGACTACCTAATATTTTTAAGTATTTTGATACCAGATTTTTGTGATTTTAAATATTAACTCACTTCAGAATGAAGAATAACTCAGTAATTAATGTCAGGGAGCAATGTAAAAACACGAATAGTATCTTCATTAAAAGAAGAAAGTCATCCCTAATATAAGTTCTTTGCTAGAGAACTATCTTGTGACTAAAATTAAAAAATAAGAGCAAATTTCAAATACAAAGTATTAAAACAATGTTCACATGAGAAAACCTGAACGACATGCATGAAGATACATGTTGGCACAAAACTGCCCCTAGAACAATAGTTTATTCATTGGATCATAGCTGCTTTCAAGATTCCTTTGATTTAATATCTGTTACATATTTTTACTCCAAAAAAATGAATAATCAGCAAATAGTTTAAACACAGATTCAAACAGATCATTTTAAATGTTATGAAAAGAAAGAAGATCATAAGATCTATTTCTTAAGCACAGTTTTGCTAAGTTATGCTAAGAAAACTGCTTCATGAAACATAATAGCACATTTTTTTAAGAAAAAAAAAGGAACTCATAGATTCCAAGTAAAGTACTTTTTATAGTGTTTTGCTTGGCTAGTGCAGTTATCATCTGAGTTAAAAACACTTAAATTATTTAGCAGGTTAAGTTTGCTTTTTTAAAAAATAGTTTCTTGGCAATACATAAGGCAGGCTGAAAGCTGAACTAGCATGGTTTAGAAAAGTAATACGTACTTAATCAAATAAGAATAGCGTTGCCTGAAGCTAAAACAAGATTAAAATTTACCTAGACTACTAACTGTCAGTCTGGGAGCTCACAATGACTGCCAGTGAAATTCCGGACAGAACCGCCACCTGTATGGGAAGATTGCCATGCATTCTGGTGATTTTTCCATTTAGGTAAAGAAACATGTGGAATGAGCTTTATCAAAAGCCAAGACATAAGATTAGATAAGACTATTTTTGCAGGAATAAATTGAAGTGATGTTTACTAAACAATCAAAAACTACAGTTAGAGAAAACAGTATCACATGAGACATAAGGGTAGCAAAAAGAATTGGCTAGGCAGTGCAAAACTCAGTTACTAAACAGAGTACTGAGCTCCCATTCACTTTTTCTTTTTAAAGCATTTTCTGAATGGCCAAAAACCAATCTTAGTCATAATGCAGGAAAAGCAAGTTCTAACTTGTGATTTCAAGTACCTTACCAACAATTCCGTCATCAGTGCAGAAATGAGTCAAGAAAATGTTTGAGTCCAGAAAAAAATTATATGGGAAGCCAGAAAATACATTCGGTAGCACATAGTGGGGACTCTGCTCATTCTGAATGTGTCTGTATACCCCTCTGAGCAATTCACAGACAAGTAATCATAACTACCCATAAAATTATATTTAAAATTCACTCTCTACCCTGGCTGTCCCTAATACCCATGTATATTTTAGGAAACAATGTGTAGGCTCCATCTTTAGAGACTGAAACTTAGTAGGCCAAATCGTTCACCTTTAAAGTTCTAGAGAGATTCAGAAAAGCCAGGGCTGAGAAGCACTGACAGACCCAAGTGCTTCAAGAAAAAGCAAACAGTAAAGGCCTCCACATCACAGAAAGGGGAAGGGGAAAATGCTCCACGCAAGCCAGCATCCAAAAATTTTTGCACCACACCAACTGGATGTGTGGTGTTCTAACCATTCATTGAGCTTAAACGTTGCTAGAAAAGATAAAAAACATAAACTGACTCTAAAAACTAAACTTTGGCTTGCTCCAGATAGGATCCACAGATCATGATGAGGTAACATGCCTGCTAGGTGGAGTGAAGATAGATCCAACTGCTGCCCCTGTCACCAGAAGATGGGGCTGAGACTTGCTTTTAGGAGCAATAAGGAATGGAAAAGGCATCATTCACAGAGCACTTGAAAAGCAACAGACAAGTCAACCAAGGGAAGAAAAACTAATGGGAGCAAAAATATAAGAGCGGCTCTCTTGGCAATCAAGGCATCAAAGCTGAGGAAAATTTGGGGGCAAATCTCAGCCCTGGGAAATGTTCTGAAGGACTTGAAAAACAATATGGCCAAGATTTGACGAAATAATGATTTTCACAGAAAAATCAGAAAGCCAGATAATTCTTACATCTTTTTGGAGCATTCCGTAGAGATCACAACGATGTTTGTTCTATCACCTTCACTATTTGAAAATTACATATCTTGTCTCCATTTTCCACATAAAAATACAATTATCAGGGTGCGTTGCAAGGCCGCTGCCCTTACCTATGAGGTCAGTGGGGCCAGTCCCCAGGTTTTCTCCCCGGATTGTGACCTTTGTCCATGGTATCCCTTCATTTGGAGAGATGCCAGTCACAAGTGGGGGTTGTCGTGATCGAGACATTGTGCTTTGTGGAGCAAACTGGTGATCCTGTTACAGAAGTAATCTGTTAAAAGAGAAAGAAAAAAAGATTAGTACCAGCTGAGATGAGCACTGACTAAAAATGTAGGCACGCTAGACAGTCAGTAGCAAAATTTAAAAAGTATTCTTAAACATAGAGTTTTGCATTTTTTAGGGGTCATTTGGCCAATCGGCCAACATCTACTGAATATTATGTTTAGTAACATTATGTTCAGAAAAACAGCCTCATCCTGTGCTTTGGGAGAGACAGAAGGAGGGTGGGGAGAGACCTTGAGGCTATTTCCTTAGCTCAGAACGTCAACGCACCATATTTTAGGGTATCATTTTCTGACCCCCACCTTAGTAGGACACTCTAGTTAGTATTGTAAGAAAGACATAAGAATAACAGAGAGCTAAGCCCTGGGTTCTAGAAACTTTCAGCATAAGGGCAGAGAGAAACGAATGTCACTATGTAGCTCTGTGACTAACTTTGCTGAATCCTAAATTGATACTAGGAACTGTTCCACTGTTCTATGCTCAGGGCTTAGGGGAGATATTCTGATTAACTATACTCATAACATTGAAAACATACTTACACTCCTGTAGGTGTATTGAATTTCACTTTACTTTTGTATTTATAGAGTATAGTAGTATAGTAACTCTTTAATATGCCCAAATCAACACAAAGCCATTTGGTAGGAGAGTTTATTAAAGATGAAAGAATAAATTCATCAGAAAGACACAATTAAAACTGTATGCACTGCATAAAAGAGCTTCAAAACACATTAAATAAAAACTGATTGACTGATAGGGAGAGATAAATACATAATAATGGTTTGAGATTTTAATATTCCCTTTTAATATTAATAACAACTGGATTAAAAACAACAACAACAAAAAATATGGAATGTACAGCAAGATAGACAATATGCTGGGCCATAAAATAAGTCACAGGCAATTCCAAAGACCGAAATTCCAAGGACTACAAAGGAATTAAGTTAGCAATAGCAATACAATATCCAGAAAAGTATCCAAGTATTTGGAAATTAATATACTTCTAAATAACCCAACATTCAACGTAGAAATTAAGAGGGAAAGAAAATATTTTGAAATAAGAAATATACATCAAAATTTATGGAATGCTACCAAAGCAGTGCCTTAAAATCTCACATTAGAGAAAAAAATGTTTAAAATTAAGAATCTATGTTTCTACCTTTAGAAAAAAAGCAGTAGAAACCAATAACTTAAGTAAAAAGCATTTGAAAAACATCAAAGCCAAAAGTTCTTCATCAGTAATTAACAAATTGATGTCTCAAAAAACTCTCTAGAAATGTAACAGAAATTATCAATTTCAGTAATGAAAGAGGAAATAACCATAGATACTAAAGACATTTAAATAGTAATAAAGAAAGATGAACAGCTTTATGCTAATAAATTTTACAACTTAGATGAAATAAATTCCTTGAAGACAAGTTACCAAAATTAACAAGATGAAATAGAAAATCTCAATATCTTCATAAATATTAAATAAATTGAATTCATCATCAAAACTTTCCTACAAAGAAAACTCAAATCTAGATGGCTTCACAGATGGATTTCCATAAAACACTTACGAAGTATCAAGCCTATATGAATTATTTCAGAAAGCAAAAGAGGAAGACATCAATGATCAAGTAGAGTTTATTCCAACCAAGCAAGGGCAGTTTATCAAACATCAATCACTGTGAATTACCTTATTAAAAGAAAAAAACTATATATTACTCTAAATAGATGTCAAAGAAGCCTTGACAAAATTCATGATTAAAAACTATTCGTGGCCGGGCGCGGTGGCTCACGCCTGTAATCCCAGCACTTTGGGAGGCTGAGGCGGGTGGATCACGAGGTCAAGATATCGAGACCATCCTGGTCAACATGGTGAAACCCCGTCTCTACTAAAAATACAAAGATTAGCTGGGCATGGTGGCACGCGCCTGTAGTCCCAGCTACTCGGGAGGCTGAGGCGGGAGAATTACTTGAACCCAGGAGGCAGAGGTTGTGGTGAGCCAAGATTGCGCCATTGCACTCCAGCCTGGGTAACAAGAGCGAAACTCCATCTCAAAAAAAAAAGCTATTCATGAGTAAAAACCCTCAACAAACTAAGACTAGAGAGCATCTCTGCAATCTAATAAAGAAGTATTTGAGTGGGAAGGATCACCTAATATCCTACTTAATGGATGTTAGTGATCATCCATTAAATGCAGAATGCTTTCCCCCTTTAGACCAGAAACATAGAAAAGATGTCTCTCTTTCCTTGTCTATTCAACACTGTCCTAGAGTTTCTGGGAGTGCAATAGGGTGAATTAAAGAAATAAAAAGCAGAAAGATGGCAAAGGAAGACGTAAACATCATATAATAAGCAATCATGTAGATGCCCTGATTGCTTATACAGAAAATCCTAAGAAATCTACTAAGCAACTAATAGCACTAATATATGAATTTAGCAAAGTCCTAGAATTCATGGTCAATATATAAAAATCGGTTATTTAAATGATTAGAAAATTTTTAAAATTCATTTTGAAAATACCATTATAGGCTGGGTGCCGTGGCTCACGCCTGTAATCCCAGCATTTTGGGAGGCCGAGGCAGGCAGTTCACGAGGTCAAGAGATCGAGACCATCCTGGCCAACATGATGAAACCCTGTCTCTACTAATAAACATATAAAAATTAGCTGGGTGTGGTGGTGTGTGCCTATAGTCCCAGCTACTGGAGAGGCTGAGGCAGAAGAATTCCTTGAACCCGGGAGGCAGAGGTTGCAGTGAGCCAAGATTGTGCCACTGCACTCCAGCCTGGTGCCTGATGACAGAGCCAGACTCTGTCTCAAAAAAAAAGAAAAGAAAATACCATTATAAAATACCTAAAAATACACTTAATAAGAGAAATATACAAGACATTTACATTAAAAACTAAAATATATTGCAGAGAGAAAATAAAGACCTAAATAGGTGAAGATCAATATCATGATTATGGATCAGAGGACTCAATGTTGTTAAAATATCAGTTCTCCCCAAAGTGACCTATAAATTCATGCAAGCTTAGGTGGAGATATTGTCACAGTCACTCTAAAATTTCAGTAGATATTCAAAGGATCTAGAAGAGCCAAAACAATTTTAGGAGGCGGAAAAATGTTTTAACATTTTTCAGTATATGACTTCAAGACTTATTACAAATCTATAGTAATCAAGACAGTGTTCTTGATATTACGACATACTAATGGACGAATGAAATAGAATAGAATCCAGAAACAAACACACATGATTATATGAGTTTTGGCAAAGGCACCAAAGTAATTCACTGGGAAAGGAAAGTATTTTAAATGATGTTGAAATAACTGGATAGCTACATAGGAAAAAAAAAAAAAGAGATGTTAACTGCAACCTCACATCACTTACAAAAATTATTTCAAAATGGCTCACTAAAAACTATATTTGTAAACTATAACGAAGATAACACAAGAGAGTATCTCCATTACCTGGGTGCAGGTAGACTTGTGTTCAATATGACAAATAATAACTGTACAATGAAAACTACTACATTTTCTGACTTCATCCAAATTAAATCTTCTGCTTATCAAGAGAAAATAAATAGGCAACTACTGCCTAGAAGGAAATATTCACAATAGATACAAATGATAAAGGACTTTATACAAACAACATATAAAGAACTTTTGCAATGTGATATCAAAGGAAGCAACCCAATTTTTTTTTTAATAAGCAAAAGATCTAAGGAGACTCTTCACAAAAGAAGATATATGAACTCAGTTTTTAACATAATATGCGATAAATAGCTGTATAAATTTGGTAGATTTGTGTGTGTGTGCAAGTGTGTATTTTCTAGCTTTGTACATTGAGAGAGGCTAGAAGCAATAATATGACAGTAGCGATGAGCATATCTAACCCAAATACCATTATTCAACAAAGTAACCAGAGTCCTTGGAGAAATGCCTGACTGCAGGGCTGAGGCAGGGCAAAGACAAGTCTGAAAGATTCTGCTGTACCAGTAAGAAAGTATGTGTCAAAGGGCCACAGAGGCAGACTGGAGCAGTGCCCACTGACCAAACCAGACAATCTGAGCACCAAAAATTAGCATTTTCTTGACCTTCACATTTTCAAAGAGTACAGGTTATTTTATGGAATGCCTATCAATTTGGCTTTTTCTGATCATGCTCGTTGGTTTGACTTAGGTTGTGTATTTTTGACAGGGACTTCACAGATCCTTCTCAATGATTCATATCAAGAAAGGCTCCTCGTGTTCGTCTGTTGCAACTTTGGATTAGATAGTATGGTACCAATAATAAACTTCCTCATTTTGCAAACTGTGCTATAATAAAAGAGAATGTCCTTGGTCTTAATAACTACATACTTAAAGTATTTAGGATTAAAGGAATGATGCTGCATCCTACTTTCAAATGGTTCACGAAAACATATGCAGACAGAGGGACAGAATGATACAGAAATTGGGGCAAAAAGGAAACAGCCAGTGGGTGTGGTTAAAGGGCTTACTTTTACCAAAATAAAGGAAATAAGGGGTTTACAGGAGTTACTTTTACTATTCTGGAAAATTTTCTATTACTTTGAAGTTATAGCAAAATAAGTTATTAAATATAATGCTTTGGTAATATTTCAAAATTAAACATAAACGTATCACATTAACACTATACTGCTAAATAACATATTAGGCTCATTGTGCCTGAAAATTGAAAGATAAATATTTCCACATTTGACATTAGGAAATGCACAAATAAGCAATAAATAAACTGATATTAAATAGACATACTAGGTGATTTAATACTTAAAAGTTATATAAAATTATATGTTTTAGAAGTATTATTTTACTGGAATACACTATTGTTGCCTCTTTAAACATGTTTCTAAACGCAGACAAGTGTGGAAAGCTTGTTTTACGAATGTGATACAAAACTATTATAAACTGATAAACATGAGATTTAGTATTATAACATATTAATAAAAAATTATAGGACAGCAAAGGCATATTTCAACACAAAGTTC